GTTTCTGAAAAGGAGAAATGGGTCTAATTAGTGCAATGAAAATATCTATCTCAACACTGCATTCTTGCAAGATTTTTTTTCACAAATGTTTCAGCCTCCAAAAGTCTGTAATTTTAAGTCTGTCCTCTTTAAGATATTCAGTTTTTTTTAAAAAAAAATAACAGTTGGGAAAAAAAGTTTAAAAGGACTGTACTTATTTTTAATTCACAGGGAAGTATGTTTTCAGCTCTCTGTTTTATTGATCACTGCAGCATTTTCTTATCACCCAGTCTTTCCTTTTCTCCAGTTGTTCACTGTAGAAGCTTATACAGATTTCAGTTGTTTTATTCTCTGATAAATCCTCTAGCGTAAATTCCTTTCATTTGTATTTTGAGCATTTTTCTCTCATGTAAATTTGTACAGTGGGAAATATTGTCCAGTTTGGTTTAGAGAGCATGGAGACATAAAATTTAAAAAATTGACAGCTGAAAATTAAGATTGAAGAACTATTTGTGTAAAGTTATTTAAAGAACTCTGTATTATATAAAAGGTTAAAAGTTATATGTATTTGATGTGAATACCGCTATAATAAAGATTGACTGCATGGAGAACACTTTGCATGAAATCATTAAAAAGTGTTGGATTTGCAGCTACATTATAGGAACTTCAGAGCATGGGATCAGAGTTGGAGATGTCTTATTCAGCAGCCGGACGATGCAATCCAGAGCTAATATTTCTAATAGACAACTGTCAAACTTTTTCTTGAGCTCCAACAATGAATGTTCCCTGCTATCCCTTCTAGGTGACTGACTACATTGCCAAATTGCTCTTAGCTTTCTTTTACTGCCATTTGTAACTGAAGCCTCTCAGCCCTAATTCTGGTTTGTAGGAGAGCATGAAAAATGTTTTAGTTTTTTAAAACATCTGGTGGTCACCCAGGAAATGGCAATCACATTGCCCCCATTTTTCCCAGGGTTAAATATATCCTGCTTGTGTTTTGAACTGTCCTCCTCCAAACCCATTCCACTTAGTTTATAGTCTTTGTCAAGAGTACTACAGGAGAACTACTCTTTTTTTAAAAAGGAAGAAAACTGTTTGCTGGGATTTCCATTATAAATGAAGTACAAGTTCTTTCTTATTGCCATGAGTTTTTTCCAAAGCCAGAATATTTTATTTTCTTATGTACAGGTCCTTGGGAATAGCTTAGTCATGTTTGATTAACTTGGGCAAATGAGCAAACAGCTTGAAGGAGTATGGCAGTGCAGTTTGGCATAAGACTCAATAGCAAGTTTTTGCTTTAGGTCAAAAAGGTTTTACTCAACTAGCCTGAGAACAGCAAGAAAAAATATGGTTTTTTTAACTAATGGTGCCTTAAGAAACAAAAAATGAAAATCCACAAACAAGGGTTGGCAGTTCTGACCTGGAATGCCTGTGGCAGTTTTTATTCCTGTGTTATAACAACCTGGCACAGTATTCTAGCAAGCAGACCTTAAAGAAAAAGCCAAATAACTCGATCAATGAGCGGCCATGCTTCAGCAGATGAGAAGATAAAAAACTGGGATCAAATAATGAGGTGCTATAATGGATACTGACAATAGAAATCACACTCTGGTTTCTCCATAAGGAAGGTAAACAAAAGAGGAAGTAGGAATATGAGTGGGGGAAGTTACCATGTAATGGCAGAGTTCCTGCTTGTAAAGGAAATTAAAGCTGAGTGTAGTAAAAGTTTTTAAAAAGCAAGTTGTAATAAATACAGAGCAATTATAAATTAAGATTTCATGACAGGAGAAGCTAATGGGAAAAGGAACTCAAGATGGGGAGAATTCCTAAAAGCACAATTGTAAAACAAAATATGAGGGGGAAAAATGACTGACAGCAGAAGATGCCAATATCGCTACACAGACAGCTTAGAGAGATTTTAAAAATAAGGGCATACATACAGTAGGTAGAAAGAGTACGCAGACATAGTCAAGAATCAAAGGTGGTGTCATAAAGACTAAAGCTTAGTATGAGCTGATATTGGTAAATGACACTAAGAATAAAACAAAAACAACTTACCCAGCTATATTCAAAATAAAAAGAGTATAGATCATAATGAAATTGATGCAGTGATTATCAGAAAGCAAAGTACAAGCCTTTCAGAATAATCTTATTTTTTAATCAGGTAACTTATTTAGTAGACTGTAGGAATGCTGTACAAACAATATTTGATTTCAGCAAAGTGAAATACAAGTGTAGGTCCTCATTACAGACTGGAATACTTCAAAGAATTCCACAAAAAATTTCAAGAGGTGCTAAATGCAAAATCTAAAAATGACATAGTACTACTGATGGTGACTGGAACACACAATTTGGAGAAATGAAGGAATTACAGGAATTCCTGGAATTATAGGAAGATTTGAACTGGGCAAATACATAAATGAAGAAGATGGAGATAATTTTGCAAAGAAAATTATTTATTGCTAATATCTTCACATCATCAGATATATAACTTTGGAATACAGTTGACTATATAATAGAAAACTGAAGATGAAGCAGCATACTCCAGTCAGTCAGGAAACTTCCAGAAGCAGATTATGGAACAGACAATGAATTATTAGTGTCATATATATGGGCAAAACTTGCAAAGTTAAGAGAGTAGATATGTACATAAGATTTTACTTAAGAGAACATACAGTTAAAATATACAGTCAATGTAACCAATTCATTATATTCAATCTATCTGGAAGAGAACCTGAAGAGGTAAGGAAAGAGGTAGAAGACACTGAAAACCAAGTGGAAAAAAATATTCCCAAAGTTTCAACCAGGAAAAGATCCAATTGGCTTTCAGAGCTAGCTATAACAGTAGCTGGAAAAAGATGGCAGATACAAGCTTTGAGTAAAACAATGATATATGGCACTACAACACAGACTTCCAGTGGCAAATAAAGAACCAGGAAATATCTCCATCAAGTACTGCAATAGAGAAAAATAACAAGAATACAAATATGAATTTTTTGAAAGATCAAAGAAATCACAGGAAATCGTATCGCTATGGTAGGAAGAATCAAGAGTAATCATAGACTGGATCAAATTCTATGCAAGGAAGACTGAAAGATTATATTGGAATAATTTACAGACCGGATTATAGAATAACAAATTTGAAGAGAGAGAATATGTCGAGGAACTGATTCCACTAGAAGATACAAGAGCAAATATATCCACTATCAAATAGGAGAGCACCAGGCACAGATCAAAAAGCCATAAGAGCTGTGCTAATTCTTCACATAAGCAACTATTTGCTTAAGATTTTACAAAGTAGAACCATGCATGGAGAGTGTGATGCCAAAGAATTGGCAGGTTTCAAAAAAGTGAGAGGGTCACAAAGTCAGACAGCCAACTTAAGATGGATAATGAAGAAAATAAGAGAACATAAGGAAGAGATTATAGCAAAGCCTTTATTTATTTATTTTTATTTATTTATTAAATAAATAAATAAATTTAATAAATAAAAAAAAATAAATAATGAAGAAAATAAGAGAACATAAGAGATTACAGCAAAGCCTTTGTTTAGATTATGTCATGAGTGCATCTAATTATTCTTCTGAGGAACTTTTATAATATAGAAGCTACCAGTCCTTAGGAAATATACCGCTATAAATAAACTATAAACTACAAAACTGAATTTGGAGAAACAGACTAATTCAGAAGAAGAAAGGGAGTGAGTCCAGAATACGTATTATAACTAACTTGTATAGCGAATATAAGAACTGCAAGGTTGAAGATGATAGGTGGAATCAGACTGGAAATCAAGGCAATAAGAATTTGAGATATGCAAACAACCCACCTTGTTAGCTAAAAATAAGTAACATTTGAAGAGTTTATTATGAAAGTAAAAAGAGAAAGCAAAATAAATCTAGTTAATGTTAAATATTAGTATCAATTAGCATGTTGAGTGAACTCAGTTTTTGGTAAATAAGGTAGTTTTGTTTTCTTGGGCGCAAGAATAGATAAAGATGGGTAGTATAAGATATGGAAGAAAGCAATGATAAATTCATTGAAGTTCATAAATAATATTTCTATGACAAGACCAGAATAGTTAAAACTATGGTTTTTCCAGTCGTAATAAATATCTATGAAAGCTGTACATAGAGAGAGAGCACCTTCACATTATGCATTTGTAGACCACTCCTAATAGCACTGTAGACTGCAAGAACTAATTATTCATGGAAGACTAAAGTGATGAATAAGCAGAAGCACACAAAGTTTGGACACATGATACAAGCAGATGATAGACTACGAAGAATGACCAAGGTTAAGGGAAGTAAAAAACAAGATCATTGATAAAGTGGATGGAAGGATGGAAGAAATGACTGGCCTGTCCTTGAAAGAGTTAGAGCCAGGCCAAGGTGGTGAGTATTGTAGATACAACCATTAGGAGTTGATTGTATCTAACTAACTATATCAAAGAGACAGGGCTCTTAGGACTTCCTAGCAGGAACTGGATGTATAACCAGAGAATTAGCTTTGAATATATGCGTTTTAAATGCAGTACAGTGACCTCTTGGTAGAAACGTAGAGAATTTAAAGTAAAACAAGTTGTGATCTGGCTTAATAGTTTATTAGTTAAAATTCATATTCAGTCTATGTAAAGCAAAATATTTTCTGTACATCTCCTTCCAGAGGTCTGTAAGCAATAAAGACAAATAGTTTAGCTGATTTTGCTTTTTTAGGTACATACGTTTGAATAACTAAAATGAACAAGACAGGCAGTCTACCATAATACAGTTCCATACTTGAGGCCTGATTCCTACATACTGAGAAGCAAACTAAATACTGCTTCGAGTATTTTTCAAGTTCACTTACTGCCATTCAATTTTTTTTTAAATAATATATAATATTGGTATTCTGCAGCTGAATATTCCTAGTGTCATTAGGAAAATAAATAGGCTGAAACAAAATACAAGCTGAAACAGAATGGGGAAAGCCAGCAGTAGGAAATATACCCCTACAGTTGGGAATAAGAAATAGCACTGCAGACATTTCTGGTGTAGCTTAATTTTAATATGAGATTCGTTACTTGTCAACAGTATAACTTAATTAATGTTTTCTTATTAAGCAGACCAACCTATTTTAACAGCTGCTTTGAAACGACCTATTTATTCTACATCATCTGGAGGAATTCCTAGCTCTTCATCTGTCCACGTGGAAGGATCTGGGTAAGGAAAGTGGCCCTGTTAGGGAAAAATAGAAAGTTGAACATTTTAGGTTACTTTCCAGAAAAAATTATTTTGCAGCCTTGAATCAAGCGATTCTACAAGCAGACAAAATCAGATACAAGTAGTCCTCGCTATCCGACCACAATAGGGACCAGAATTTAGGTCGCTAAGTGATTTGGTTGTTAAGCGAATTGTCATGTGACTGAAGCTGATTTTACAACCTTTTATGATGGTTGTTAAATGAATCACATGGTCATTAAGCAAATCCAGCTTCCCCAATGAACTTTTTTGCCAGAATTCACTTAATGACCATGTGATTCACTTAACAACCATGTGATTTGCTTAACTGTCATAAAAAATCATGATCACGTGACCATGGGGGTGGTGCAACAGTTGTGTGAGTACAGGTCATAAATCACTTTTTCCAAGGCTGCTGTAACTCCAAACCATCGTTAAAGGAACAGTCGTTAAGCAAGGGACTATCTGTAATCCCAGCTATAGAGCACAGCTATAATCCAAAAGTACTTCAGGGATACCTAAAGGCTTATATACACTTTGTTCCCCTTCCAATTAGAGCCTCCCAACTGAAGTTGAATTTCTTTAGGTACTCCTGTCAAAAGCAGATCACTCAGTATGACAATTGGTGTTTTGAGGGAAAAGAAATTTAAATCCGAATATGTGAATTTTTCATTCCAATTTTAGAATATCTAAATAATGTATTGAAAACATTATGTTCAGCATTGTTAGGAGAAGCATAACAATGAATTCTCCAATTTGTATTTAATTAACAGTTCTCTTATTCAGATAATGTGATGTTCAAGTCTCTGAACTCTACCCACTGGATCTTCACATCAGTAAACATTAGCAAACATAATCCAAGCCATATTTAAAGTGCACCACCGAAGAAGCTAGATGCCATCACTGTAGCAGATAGGGTAAACAAAACAAAATACTAGCAGGAAAGGGAATAATGGTAAAGAGCATAGGCTGTGCAAGAGTTGGAAACAAGCTATGTTATACAAATTCCCAGAGAAAGAAGCAAGTTAGAAATAAACATGTATGATCAAGGACAAGACTGTTCTTTTCCTAAATCAAACACTGTTCCTAATAAGATATGCAGGAAATGGTAATGTTATGTGTGTAAACCAACATGATAAATTGCTTGTTTGCCTATAAACTTTTGTCTTCTCTAAGAGAACACCCTGTAACTACAAATCAATAAAACTTCAAAGCACTCTTCAGCTATTTTGGTTATACTATATTGGGATTTTTTTCCTACATACCCCTCTGTTTCTGTTTATACTCTTTTATTTATACAGGTGGTCCTCATTTAATGACCACTCATTCAGCAGCCATTCAAACCTATGATGGCGCTGAACAAGTGGTAATTATGACTGGACTTCGTACTTATGGCCACTGCAGTGTCCCACAGTCACATGAGCATGATTTGTGATCTTCCCTGCCAGCTTCACCTGCCAGCTTCCCGCAAGTCTATGGGGAAGCTGGCAGGAAGTCAGAAGTTGTGGTCACATGAGGTCCTCACTTAATGATCCACATCGTCCTTGTTAAACAATGGCAATCAGGACTGCTGGATCTGCCATCACTAAGTGGCAGAGTCATGTGGTTTTTCAGCTTATAACTGCATTGCTTAACAACAGTTTCCAGTCCCAATTAGCATACACAAGGACAACATTAATAATAATAAAGTAATACATTACAGGTATTGTAAGGAATGCAGCTTTGAGATTAGTGTACAGTCCTGACCAAAAGTTTTGAGAATGAAACAAAGATGAATTCTCACAGTCTGCTGCTCCAGTATTGGAAGATCTTCGTGCAGATGTTACGATGGTATACTGAAGTATACAGTGGGGTAAAAAAGTATTTAGTCAGCCACCAATTGTGCAAGTTCTCCCACTTAAAAAGACATCTTGCTTGTTTGTAGGTGACCAAACATCTTGCTTGTTTGTAGGTGACCAAACATCTTGCTTGTTTGTAGGTGACCAAACATCTTGCTTGTTTGTAGGTGACCAAACATCTTGCTTGTTTGTAGGTGACCAAACATCTTGCTTGTTTGTAGGTGACCAAACATCTTGCTTGTTTGTAGGTGACCAAATACTTATTTTCCACCATGATTTGCAAATAAATTCTTTAAAAATCAGACAATGTGATTTTCTGGATTTTTTTTCTCATCTTGTCTCTCATAGTTGAAGTATACCTATGATGAAAATTACAGGCCTCTCTCTCAAGTGGGAGAACTTGCACAATTGGTGGCTGACTAAATACTTTTTTGCCCCACTCTAAGTACAAGCATTGCATAAGTGTCAAAGGCTTTTATTGACAATTACATTAAGTTTATGCAAAGAGTCAATA